CTCTCTCTCTCTCTCTCTCTCTCTCTCTCTCATTTCTCTTGGTCTTTTAGACAGGATCTCACCATATAGTTCAGGCTGGCCTTGAATTCACTATGTAACCCAGGCTGGCCTCGAACTCCTAGTAATCCTCCTGCCTTAAGCCTCCTGAATACTGGGATTACAACCATGTGCCACCATGCCCAACCTCATCTGTCTTTCTCTTATACCATTTCCTATTAAGTAATATGTGTATGAAAGTACTCTATAAATTTCAAAGCATGACATAGAGTCTGGTGAGTATGATTCTTAGAATCTTTCAATAAACTGAGAAAGTCCAATTTATACAAGTACAGCCATGTGCTACATAATGATTTTTAGGTCAACAACAGATGGCATATACAACAACAGTTCACAGATTATGCTCCTTGCTGATGTAGCCATCTTAGTTGGTGCAAGCATACTCTATGATGCACAATGATATCACCTTAATGACATTTTTCAGACTGTATTCTCAATATCGAACATCAGTGATTATAATTAAAGTCAGTGTGGAATACAATGAGGCACTTCACAGAACTTAACAGGTCTCTGACTGAATCTTCTTTGTTCTTTTAGTAGCAGAAGCTTCTGGAATGTAAGTAATCCTGCTAGAACAGTGCTATTACCTCATCTGATGGCCCTACAGCCTCTCGCTGGAGAAGCAGAGCTGTTCTGCCTGAATAGTGATCATACATGGATGTCTTCCTCCCAGAATATCCATTAAGTATATTCACTCTGCTAGTACTAGCAAAAGGCTCTGGTAACATGACAAAAATATTCATTAAGCAGAACCTGTGTGAGCATAGAAATATGAGTCTAAACCTCTTGAGTATTTAGCTTTCTTGATAGAATATGAGATCCAAACTGAAGATGTAGGGTTAAGCACGAGGAAGGAACTGGTTAGGCAGTAGGGGACAGACAGATGGCTAGGTAAGATACTACATAAAAGCCCACTTAGTTGAAACAAATGACAGATGCCTTTGGAACATCCAGGTACTAATGCTACAGATGGTTGGAAACAAAGAGTGTGGAAATCAGAAGTTCTGTAAGACCAATGATGGAGACATAATGGGCTCTATCCAAAAGTGGCAGTCAGAAAGTTGTCATGGTGTTATGGTTTGCATTTGAAATGTCTCCCAAAAATCATATGCTAAAGGCTTGTTTGCTAGCCGATGGGCTTTTAGGGAAGGGATCAGATCATGAGGGCTCCTCTAACCTCATCAGTGGAGTAATGGAGTAACCCATTGATGAGACCACAACGTGATGGCACTATTAGGAGGTGGGGCCTGATGCGAGTATATCATGGATGTGCTGCGGCCTATATCTGGTTCCCTGTTCCTTTCTCTCTGGCTCTTTTCCACTCTTTTTGCTTCTACACTGCCACAAGATGAGCAGCTTTGCTCCACAGCCCCTTCTGCCACGCTGTTCTGCCTCACCTCAGGGCCCACAGCAATGAAACCAGCCAACCATGGCCTGAAACCATGAGCCAAAATAAAGTATCTCCTCCTTCAAGTTATTTTTCTCAGGTATTTGGCCACAGTGATGGAAAGGTGATTAACAGAAAGTAAGAAAATAGATGAAGAACAACGCAACAGTGCAACATGTAAAAACAAGGGGAGAAAAAGTGCAGTGAAAGAACCCAAAAAAGGGATCAAAGAGAAAAGTAAGTCACAAAAGCAGAGGACCAGAAAGCTAAAAAGGTGAAAATTTCAAAGATTAATCACCAGTGTCAAGCACAACTAGGCAGTAGCAAGGATAAGAACACAGGGAAGGTGGGCATGGTGGTGTGGTGGGACACACCCATCATCCCAGCACTCTGGAGACTGAGGCAGGAGGATACCTCAAAGTCTGAGGCCAGCCTGGCTACACAGTGAGTTCAAGGCCAGCCTGAACTACAGAGTGAGACCCTGTCACATACAAAAGTGCATGCACACACACACACAGTGTCATGGTTTCTTGATCAGCATGTTACTGGTGATATATGTGAAAGAGCAACAGAATGGAGAGATGTGGGAACCATGTGGTTTTGGCCACTGTGTGCAGTAATCTCAATTCTCTATGTAGTTCTGATTTAATTATTCTTGGTCAAGAATGACCAGTTAGATGTATGTTGTCCTTGAATATGTGAGGGGCAAATAAAAGTTTAGCTGGACATGTTCTCTTCCTATTCCTCAGCCTTCTACACACCCTCACCTCTATACCCTCCTCAAGCCCCAAGGAGATGCTAGTATTATTATTTTTCAGGGTTTGTGATGAACCTCTAGCATAAGTGGACATTCAAAGACAGAAATTTTGTTCAATGAACATGAGTGGAAGGGATTTAAGAAGTGGGTGGAAAGAAAATCTCTCCTCCCCGTTTCAAAACTAAATAAAACCAAGGGTTGCTGTACTGTGTACAGTGTAGCATGATGGGAGAAGGGCTAGCTGTATAGAAATCATACATGCTGAGGATTGAACCCCAGCTCTGACACTACCATACCTGCAAAGTCTCCCCTTCTTAGGTGGCTGGAAGAGTCTAGCTGCATAAAGATCCAACCACAGGGCTCTTCGCCTACTAGGGGCAATAAATGGTAGCAGTGGGCACTGCTGTTAGTACTAGCTGCTGGTCTTCTCACAAGTCACTTGATGAGATAAAAAACTACAATTACTCAAGATAGAAAATTACTGTGACTTTCGTCACTATTACCTTTCATCTAGAAAGATCTACCCACTTCTTTGAACTCACATTTACCCGAGAGGGCACACCACCAATCAACACTAAAAGGTCTGGAGAACGCCCAGGCCATTTCTCTGACTTTAGATCAGTGAACAGCATGCATTATAGACTGTTATAACAGGCTTAAAACATTTTTGCACATACAAATTTTGCATTCGTAAGCAAAGAAACAGCTCGATCGCAGCATGGCCACTTGGCATGCTTTTGCACAAAGAATTAGAGACGGTGCAGATGAAAGGTGACAGACACAGTGGAAAGGGAGCAAGAATGTGGGGAGGGCGAGGTGACCACTCACACTAGGGCAGCCGGATAACGAAGCCTTTGCAGTTATAGGCAAAACATTTAAAACTGGGAGGGGAAAAAAGCTGCATCCCCCCCCAGCCCTCACGCTGCATGCTAGCACAAGCTGGGCAGTCACATCCGACTTCCAAACTAGAGCGCCGGTCATCCTAGCCTCAGGCCCTGGGCGGGCAGAAGAGGACCCAAGGGGAGGTGTCCGCCACTCCCAGCCTGAGTCCTCCCAACCGCCCCTCCCGCTGGGGCCAAAGTGTCTCCTGCCGGATGGGGACCGATAAGGGCCCCTGCCGGAGGCCCCGCCCCTCCTGCTGCAGCTCACCCGGCCCGCGCCCGACTCGCGCCAGCCCGCCCCTGCTCACCCGGCGTCCGGCGACCCGGGGCAGTGTGGGGAGGAGCGCGGAGGCGGAGGCGGAGGGGAGGAAGGCGGGCTCGACGGCCGCGCGCGCGCGCTCTGCTGCTCGTCCCGGTCGCCAGCGCTCCACCGTGCACATTGCCGTGAGTACAGATTCGGCCCGACCGACGTCTGCGGGCGGGGCGGCGGCCGCCCTGTTCCGTCCGTCCAGCCAGTGCCGGCCTATTCAGTGGCCCGGGGGTGACGGGGCGACTCGGGGGAGGCCGAGGGGACGAACTCCTGCGAGTGACCTCTCCGCCCGACGCCCCGCTGATGTCGCGGCAGGGCCCAGAAATGGCTGACTGGCCTCTGTGCGCCTGGGCTGCGCGTGTTGCGGGGCATCCTGGCCGAGCCCGTGCGGCCGCGCGAGGCGTCCTCGCCCGAGTGTGTGCGGGCCGCTCTCGGGAACTCAGGCTGGGCTGGCGGGTAGAGAGGGACCGGCGCCCAGGCCGTGCTGGCAGAGCAAGGAATCCCCTTGAAGGAGACAGAGGGGATGGGGAGAGACCCCTCAGTGGAAGGATTGGGCGCAGAGCCCACCTTGATTTATTTAAAAAAAAAAATCCGAGGACATTGGGCTGTCTTTCCAGGTTTCTGCCGGGAAAGAACTACACATCATTCTTCTGGCCCCACACATCACCCTCTTCCCAAGTTTTTAAACTGTCCACGGGCTCAGTACCCCTTTAACTCTGTGTATGTGGATTATCTATTGATATTTGCCATGTATAATAAAACACATTTTTACTATATTTAATAATTCTTTTAAAATAAGAATAGACCAATACTTTAACATTTTAAATGAAAAAACCCGGTATTTCCCATATCAGAAAGTTATTGAGAGTAGATAGTGTACATTTCTGCAAATCTCTTTAATGTCAGGCTTAGTGGAAGACTGTTGCAATCACATGTCACATAGCTTCTGGGGAACGCCACAGTATATCATGAAGGTGTGAGAATAAAAAGACAAAATAACCCAGGAGTATTCTGAGAGTGATTTGCCCTTAGATACCCAGGCATTCTCTGCACTTGTTGTCCACACTTGTTGAACTGCTGGGATGGGAAGTGCTTTTTGGGCTTAATTCACTTGTTCTGTTTCTTGTTTGTGATTCTGCCTCAAAATGGGAACGCACACGACCCCGTGTCTTGAATAATGTTAACGTCCGGAGCTGGGGACCAAGCTTGACCTTGCTTTGGAAACCAAATACTAGGTTCCCACATTTGATGATGAATCTTTCTGGACATCTGAAAATTTAGCAGCGTTCACAGGTGGCTTTGGTTGTTTCTATAGCTGCAAAGGTGACCTGTCTACATCGAGAGTACAGTAGCGATATGGCAAACAGGATCTGCGGGTTCAGAGAAATGCCTATGGGGAGACCATGCCAAGTGTGTAGGGGGTTGGTGTAAGACGTGCCAAGTAGTTAAGTTATTTCCAAAGTAACAGGAGGCACGCTTTTGATTCCTTACCACATGCTGTCTTCTGTTGCTGTTACCCCATTGCTAGCCTTGAGTTCATTGGAATATACTTCCCAGTCTTGGAGTACTTTCTCTTCCATTTTCAGAGGTGTGTCACTTCCTCAGCCCCTGCTGGCCAGCATCTTGATGTGTGGTGGTGGGATTCTTCTCTGGATTCTTCCCCTGGCTTTGTGCTCCGTCACCACAAGTTCAAGATAGAAATTATGCCAAAGAGCCTGTCATGCTCTGGAGCAAACTGGACACCCTAGCTGATGGGTTAGAAACAAGCTGTGCCTTGAGGATGCTGCGCACACTATTGCATACTACAAGTGGAAGAAGGGGAGGGCATGTAGACTCCAAACACCTGTTAGTGTTCTTTGTAGAAGACTCTCCTTTGGTGGTGGAGTCTCCATCATCCCTTCAGTAGATATTTGTTGACGACCTACAAGTATTTATTACAGGCCCAATTCTGTACTGGACACCGGGAAAGTAGTGCATGCAGAAGACGCTGTCCCTGTCTTTTGGAGCTTACGGTCTAATAGCTTAGGTAACTCGTGATTAATTGAGACAATCCAATGTCACATTATTTACCTGAAGCATGGTCCTGTGTGAAAAACAATATTGCCTACCTCAAGTGTGCTTCAAAAACATGTTCTCATGAAACCAGAGTCTCAAACTGTAAAGATGATTTTTTTAAAATTCTTCCTTTTATGGAGCTAGTAACTCTCTGTGAGGCAGCCAGACTCTCTGTACAGGGAAATTACTTTCAGCCTGATACCAGTCTCTAGGCCAGCCTTGGGAAAAATACTTGATCTCTCTGGGCCTTAGTGTGTTTGACTTTTTTTTTTTTTTAGTACCGGAGATTGAACTTGGGACCTTGCACTTGCGAGGCAGGCGATGGAACCACTGAGCTAAATCCCCAGCTAACATGTACTATTTTTAAAAAAGGAAGATGTGGTTGTTTATCTGATAAGAATGCTGCTGACATCCCCTCTCCCAATAAAACAAATTACTTTGTCATATTTCTGAACTAGTATATTTTAGTATGATACTAGTATATATTCAAAATATTGAGAACAAGACCTCACAACTCAAAGCATTAAACAGTATTAATGTTTGATTTAAACTCCTGTCCAATGCTAGAGGTACTAGATCAAAGTCTCCTTTAATTGGCATTTGGCAGTCCCTACACACTGGTGTTACAAAATGTTATTGCACATTTTTAAACTAAAAAGCATATTATATGGGAGTATTTCCCCATGGCCCTCTGTTTCTGAGGAGAGAGTATGTACATGTATGTAGGTGTAGCCATTTACTTGGGCAAAGGCAGTGGATTTGCTAAAACCTGAAGTAGTTTTCTCCTGGTGGTGGGGTACAGTTGATATTTAGATTTTCTGTGGTTTTTTTCCCATTA